AGAGCAAATTGGTTTAATTGACCATTATTTCATCATTACAATAAAATGGTATATAAGTGGAATGGTCAGTAAACTAGGTGAAATAAATGAGAGCTTTGTCAGAAAAGCACAAACAAGTTTTCATTGGGTATCATTTATGTTTATTTAGTCGATTCATTTGTGTGGTGGTGTTACAGATTCTTTTTGTTTATCTGCCATTATGTTGCTTGCATGGTTTGAATTGATTTCAGATTTTGAAGCAGCAGAGACATACAGAATATTGGCCTACAGAAATGACAGACAAACTTAGCCATATTGTCTGTCAATTCATAGGTCATTTTCCTGTACACCATTTCTTAAGGATGACTGATCTTCCATTGTTGGATCCTTTTTGTGTCATAGCGCTTGAATTTAAGAAAATTGTTTATTCTTAATTATTTTTCAGTTTTATAAACAGAATGAAAGGTTATCTTTTTTCCTCCTGAATCAAATGAGTCAAGTGACCAGGATTTTTTGTCTTTCTTTGTTATGCCTTTATTTTGTAGCAAGTTGGTAACCATCAAAAGTAACAGCAACTCCACTGGAAATTGGTACAAGGTCCACATGGAGTTACTGTTACATTTGATAATTCCATTAACCATATTAGAAGACTCCTTCTGCTTTACTTGATGAAAGTCTGTATGTTATCTCTACGTATACTTGTTTCATAGAAGAGAATCTTAATTTATTCACATTCTGAGTAAGTTTAGGGACTGGTAGATTTGAAACTCTGATTTTAATTTTGATATGAATTAATGGTCTTATTTGCATTTGATATTCATATTTGTATTTTCTCAAGAAATAATTCAATTTCTTGGTTCATTTTCTGAATCTATAATGCTATTATAATTTAGTTTGAAATTTGTTCCTAGTTAATGAAAACACAGTAAGCAATTTTTAGCATAAAGAGATCAAATTTAGAAACATTAGGCTACTCAGGAAGAAAAAGAAGTTGTTGGTTAAATTTGTTTTATCATTTCAGATTGATTGTAATCAATTTAACACTGTCAGTGTAATAGTTAATGTATGCATTTAGGAACTTAGCCTGGCTTCTGGAAATTATGAGAAATTTAGTAAGAAGAGGCAAGGAATTTCCAGTTTGAGTGTTAACTTTAGCTATCTCAATTTTTGCTTATGTTGATAATAGTGCCCTTTTGGTTAAAAAAAAATTCATTAACTAAAGAAAAATTTCTCAAATTGTTTCCTGTCATCTTTGAAACATAACAGTAGGATAAAATAAAAAATGCAGTTCCCCCCTCCCAACTCTCATTGTGTTCTAGAATTAAATTTAGTAAACAAATATGAAACATTTAGCCTCTTACCTCATTCTTATTCCAGTAACTTGTGGAAGTTGTCTTTCACCTCAGTATTTTTGCTTATAAAGACAAAACACAGAAAATAGTGGAATGACAGCAATAATTAATTTCTTCATTATCGCGTCATCTTAGTGCTGCTTAATTTCCAGTAACATGCTAAACAGGCCTTTGGCCCAGTTGGTATTGAAGTTCAGAACGACTGGTTGGTGTTACAGTTGCTCATATGCCTAGTGGATTTTCACCGACTGAAACCTAAAAAAGGACACGTAATGCATGTTAAGATACGGCCTTTGAGTAAAGTACAAAGTTTTATGATGTACTTATTGCTTTATGAAGCACATCTTGAAGTGGAAGCATATAAATTATATAGTGATAAGTGGTTTCATCCACTTTTGTCAACAGTAATTTATACTGATTTTTAGGTTGTAAGTTAACTGTGTGTTTTTGTTAATATAGGATATTATTAATGGAATAAAGGGGTGAATTCTTAAATTTCTAATGACAAATTTACACTTTTTCCTTGTATTTTGTTCTGAAGAATATTAAATATCACAGTGAAACACTTAGAAAATTGTTTTAAAAATTTAAAGTATGGTCTTAGTTTTGTTA